TAATTTGAAAAATATAAAAGATATCTTATAAAACATAATAAAATATAAAATATAATATAATAGCTTATAAAATATAATATAAAATTATAAAATATCTTATTCCATTTATTTATAGGTGCAAAGATTGAAGCAATAGTTATATATTGTTAACACCAGATTTGCGGAATCCGTCGAAATGATGGATCACAAATTTTTTACTTTTATTTGCGGTAAATATTACAATAACACTCGTTAAAAATCAAAATAAAAGTATTATTGTTATTTTTATAAACTAACATCAAACAGCTGCTTTTAATGCTCCTTAAATTTAGTATTAATATATTATTTTCCTCTCGCTGAAATTGTTAAGTAACGAAAGAAATTCCGGAAGTGGTCTCCGTAACATGTAAGAAATTCAAAGAATTTTTATTTCACACAAAGATCCGCAGTCAAATCATAACATTTGAATCGAACGAATGATACAGAATTGTACCACTTGATAAAATGCGCACACAATCATATAATAGTAATTTATTTCGCTCGTTTCAAACGGCAAATTTCCGAGCTCGCGTGTCATCGCGCAGGGAACACAGAGAGACAGAGGACGATCTGGTAACAAGTCGGCGGCTCCAGCAAAGCGGACACGATCTCTGATCCTTGATCTTGGATCTCGGTGAGCGGCCAAGTCGCTATAAACGGGCCACAACGTGCCGGATCGTCTGGAAATGCTCCGTGCCGTCAAACGATCACTGGAATCAAAGAATGCACTTGCGAGCTTTGCGATTCTAATCAAAATGATATACATTCTATGCTACTGTATATACAGAATTGAGAAATACTTAATTCATTACTAAACTGCAAAGCATACATTTATAATACGTGTGAATTTATGATATAATAATAATAATAATAATAATGATAATGATAATGATAATAATAATAATAATAATAATCTGATTGTATAACAATGTAACAAAATAAACTGGACAATTCTTTAGTAATACAAGAGCGATTTAGAAGTATATACCACAGAATGTTTATACAAGATTAATTACAATATATTTTTAATAGAATTGTAAGTTGTAATAGATTTTCAATAAAAATTTTGATTATAATGGACTTTTACCAAATTTTTAATAGAACTTTAAGTTCTAACAGAAAGTGATTTCTAATCAAAATTTTCACCACAATGAATTTTTAATAGAATTTTAAAAGTTGTAATAGTTTTTTAATAGAAGTTTTAATTTTAATGAATTTTGAATAAAAATTTTAATTATAATAGACTTTGAACGCATTTAATTACAAACCTTTGCAATTTGGAATATTATTAGACTTTACCGAATTTGACAATGTATTAATTTAATTCTATTTTCATTTACAGATGCAAGAGTGCTAGTGGGCGGAAATTGATTTTGCAACAAGCATCAATTGACGGTAAGTTCCGTAGTTCTAATTTAACAATTAATTAGGAAAACGTCTGAGAACATGTTTTGAAATTAATTAGAACCCAATTTCAAAGCTGTATCGAAACTAATTTAAGAAAAATTGCTATATTGAAGTTAATCTAGAAGCAAATTCAGAATCT